CCAGTCTCTGTGGCTGGAATCTTCAGAGGACAAGAGTTAGAACTCTTATCTGTGTTCTGCTGTAGGATAGTTGAGTATTTGTAGATGTGGGATCAGCTTTTTGTCTCATTCAGGAAATTAGGTGATTATGGTGATCAGGGTGGTTTTGTTTGTTTGTTTTTGTTCTCAACTATCCTACACCAAAACACAGCTTAATGATCCCTACTAGACACAAGATCCAGAAATAAGTGGTTAAGGAAGGAAAGCCTTCTTAAGTCCATGCCTTTGAACTGCGTCACCTACAGGTGCTTCTAATGAAACTGCAATTAGAAAGCTTTTTTTCCTCTTTTGCTTGTGTGGCCACTTATACAGGAGAGGATCAAATTCCCCAGTGTGACTTCACAGTGAGAGAATGCAAGTTAATTCACATTTCCCTCGTTGCTATGTAGTGGCACCCTTAATTGGCTTTGTTTGCTCTTGGCAATATCTTCATAAAACCAGGTCTGTCTGACTAGAGCTATGATTTTATGTGTGATCCTTGATTTCCCAAGACTGCACATATGACTGAAGCACAGCCATCATTTTCAAGCTGTTGTTTTTCCTTAGTGAGATTATGCAGCCAAATCTGACTGATTACAAAAATATCATGGTATCAGTTCCATTCACAATGTGATCTTCAATTGGACAGAATTGTCCATGTGTTTAATCAAGCAGAAGAAAGAAGCAGGAGTCACAAGAATAAAGTGGTGTCAAAATATCACTGGCAAATTTCAAGATTGAATGAAGTAGAGGAAGAAGAATATGAGGGTGGTCATACTTTGGGAGTGAGCCAAACTCACCCAGAGTTTCATGTCTCAGAGAGACTGGAGCCTAGATCTCCCAAGTCCTATTCCACACTTAAATTGCTATATTATTTTGTGTCTTCCATTGCTTCTACCTTGACTGATGTTGAAAATAAAATAAAATAATACCCAGTCCTTGGCTTCTACGAGGGGGTGCTGATAAGTATTGAGCTTTTCGCAGAATAAAACTGAGCTAGGAAGCTATAACTTCCTAGCTCAATTTTAACTGCCACACTATTCTACATATTCCTCAGGAAGTCAATGCACTTGCAACATCTGTCCTGCGGCTTCTTAAGTTCCTGCAAATAAAATTCTTCCAACTGCTAGTGTAACCACTCATTTGCACCATTAGTTGCCTCCAGAACACTCCCAAATCGTTGTCCCTTTAGGTGTTTTTGGAGTTTGGGGAACAGATAACAGTCAGAAGGAGCAAGGTCGGGAGACTAGGGTGGATCACTAGAAAGCCTAAGAAGGTCAGTTTTGGTTGTTGTGGGTTTTTCGGGCTCTCTGGACGTGTTCTGAAGGTTGTTCTTTCTAACATTTTGCCAGTCTCTGTGGCTGGCATCTTCAGAGGACAGCACTCTGTGCTCTGGTGTAGTTGGCTTGGGAGTGGAGTATTTATGGCTGTGAGATGGGCTTTTGTCTTTTTCAGTAGATGGGTGATTAGTGTGTCTTGTTGTGGGTGTATTGTTGTGATAAGAAGGAGAGATTATCTGTCACTGTGGTTGATGGGTGTCATTAGTTGGTCTTTTGTGTGTAGTGATCACCGGTCCTTGTGGCTAGGTAGAGTTCATAGACCATTTGCACGCTGTATTTTTGAGAGCTGGGAGCCAAGTTTTGTTGAGTTTCAAACTTTCCTCTTTTTTGTTGAAGTTCTGCTGGTGCTTGTGGATTTCAATGGCTTCCCTGTGCAGTCTGACATAATGATTGCTGTGGCTAATGGCACCAATTCTCTCACATGATATTCTCATATAGCAATACTTTTGGCTGATATTTGGCGGTCCTCCATGATCATGTCATGGATGGCTTTCACATTTGCAGGCACAGAGACGGAAACAGGCCTTCCACTGGGTTTCTCACTTTCAATACTGAAATGGCCAGTTTTAAAAATGGCAACCCAGCGTTTAACTGTTGCATAGGAAGGGTCACTGTCACCCATAGTTTGTGACATCTCATCATGGATCTGCTTTGCACCTTTCCCTTGGAGAAACAGGAACTTGATTATGGTCCTATGCTCTTCCACACTGAACTTTTCTGGAGGTGCTGCCATGTTCACTTTGGACCTGAACATGAAAGATAAAGGCTCAATACTTACCAGCAGCCCCTCCTATAATTTGAGCCTCATGGCACAGCAGTTAAACTGCTGTCCTGCAGCCAAAACTATGCTCACAACCCAGGGTTCAATCCTAGGTAGCTGGTTCAAGGTTGACGCAGCCTTCTATTCTTCCAAGGTTGGTAAAATGAGTACCCAGCTGGGGAGGGCAGCAATGTGTAGCCTGTGTAATTAACTTGTAATCTGCCCAGAGAGTGCTTTAAGTGCTATGGAGTGATATATAAACAGCACACTTCGCTTTTTTGCTTTTGCTGTTATAACTTCCCAATCCCTCCTGTTCCACAGATGACTTTTGGTGATATGTGAGGAATTCTCTTTTATGTGGTGAATATGTGAGGAATTATTTTGGTGATAAGTGAGGAATTCTCTTTAGCTATACAAAAATGTCCTGCTCAAAATTCTTTCATTAATATGTGGCCTCAAATTTAGCTATCCACTGGATTACGTACTTCTTTCAGTGGTGCAACACAATTCCCAAAATATTTAAAACTGGTTTCAAGCTGTGTCAATATTCAAATTTTGTGTTTTATAAGAATTTAAAGGGGGGGGGCAGGAAAAAAAACCTAAGGCTTGGAATTGCTATTATGAGTCATTTCATAACCCTTCTAATTATAACTAAACAACGGTTGTTTTGGGTTTTTTGGGCTCTTTGGCTGTGTTCTGAAGGTTGTTCTTCCTAACATTTCGCCAGTCTCTGTAGCCGGCATCTTCAGAGGACAGCACTCTGTGCTCTGGTGTAGTTGGATTGGGAGGGCTGTCCTCTGAAGATGCCGGCCACAGAGACTGGCAAAACGTTAGGAAGAACAACCTTCAGAACACGGACAAAGAGCCTGAAAAACCCACAACCACCACTGGATCCCGGCCGTGAAAGTCTTCACGAATACATTGTAACTAAACAACATCAGGCTGTATCAAGGCCACAAAATTTGTAAACATTTTCTGTCTGCTAATTGTTTGTACATACTTAATTGAACTTTAGCACCATCATTTAGAAAATGTATAATCCTCAATGTGTGGGTTTAAGTTTTAATGTTTTTAATAAAAAAGAAAAACATCAGATAGGAGACTCCTGGACTAGAAGAAATGAAGGTAGCAGTTTCGTGAAGTTGAAAGATTGTTAGCATAAGGAAACTGAGCAGGATTGAAGTAAATGGAGATTTGTAGTGAACTAGAACATGTAGAATTTTCTACCGATGAATCCTAAAATAGTAAAATAAGATAAGGGGAAATAAAAACAATTAAAATGTCATAAAAATTCTCCTGCTAGGTTACAGATATGTGGGGGTAGGACACACTAAACTACAGGACAGGGAATTCATTCAAAACAAGATGGCTTTGTGTTACACTACACACACTGAATATCAACAAAAATGATACCATGGGCACAGCAGAGGCACCAGAAAATCAACAAGCATTTTACATAGACTTTAACAGTCAGACAGGGTGAGAATTTAATATTTTTTGGTGTGTGACTAAGTATGCTAAAAGGTTCAGTAATGTGTTTTAATTTTATAGATTTTTTAATTCTTAAGAGCTTTAATATTTTAAGTGATGTATTATCTGTCTTTCGCTCTTTAAAGCCACGTTTATAGCCTATAAGCATTTGTATTTTAAGAATGTAATTTAAAACGGTTTTTTGATATTTTATTGTACTTATGCCCTCACTCCTGCCAACCTAGCAGTTCGAAAACATGCAAATGCAAGTAGATAAATTGGTACCACCTCAGTGGGAAGGTAACGGCGTTCCGTGTCTAGTCGCGCTGGCCACGTGATCACGGAAACTGTCCTCAGACAAACACTGGCTCTATGGCTTAGAAACAGGGATGAGCACCGCGCCCTAGAGTCCGACACGACTGGACTAAATGTCAAGGGGAACTTTTACCTTTACCTATGCACTTATATTTTTGACTTAAATATCTGTCAAAAACTTAAATTCTGTGTTCTTATACTTTTAAGTATATGTCCCTACAGATTCACGTAACTATAAGACTTTTGGATGCTACAACAATTCTGAGGAAATTCTGTTCATATAACACACTGTAAAGAAAGTTTGATAGACAAACTAATGTTGCCTGAAATTATTGAAACAATGAAGAGACTTATACTTTGATACTCAGATAAATATTGATATGATTGTCTGTGACCGCCTGATTTCATTCTGGGATTAACCCTTACTTGGGATAAATGCCAGCTATGATGAACAACATGCTTCTGATCTTTTCTAGGAGGGTCTATGTATCTCAGTAGGACAGCTGGGGGGAGTCAAGCACCCTATCTACTCAGAAATACTGTACTCAAATCTAAATATATATTTTCAGTATTTTAAAAAATATTTTATCCCTCATTCTGTTTTATTCTTTTTTCCATTTCAGTAAACCATAGATTGAAATGGAAAAGAGAATGTAACAGAGTGAGAGATAAATAAAGGCAAAAGTGACACCGGTCAGAAATAGATATGATTCACAGCCAAACGCTGGCTCTAAGGCTTGGAAACGGGGATGAGCACCGTGCCCTAGATATGATTCACTTTCGATTTGGCTGTCATCCCCCACACTGGAACACTTACTCCAGAATGAACAAAACCACTACCCCTGAATCTCAGTCACATCTGAGACTCTTTCTTTCTTTTTAGGAAATGCTCTTTGTGTTGCAATAAAGTATTTCCAAACTTAAAAGCTAGCTTTACTTTTCCAGCAGAGGAAATTACAGCCCAATCCAACTGCACCTGTCATAGGAGAATTTAATGAAAACAGATATCTGTCCCTACAGCAGAGGTAAGAACACCAGGCCATCTAGATGAGACTGGTCTAAAACCTCCATGAGCCTTGGCCAGGATAGCCAGTGATGAGGAATGATGAGAGCTGGGTGATATCATGTTTTCTACTTGTACCCTCAACACAGAAGAAGAAAAGCGAAAATCTGCGGAAAGAGAAGTAAAGCTTTTTATTCCACACCTGCTCAGGCTTGGTCTTGAAGGATGTGGCAGGCAGAATGTGAAAGTTATTCACCTCTGGATTCTGCCTTTGGGCCTTTCTGCATTCCCACATGTGCTGCTCCATAGTTTCCTTCATTAGGAGAACGGATCATGGAAGAAGCTTCATTTGGTATTTGAGCAGCCACTAGTGGCTCTGTTTCAGTTGCAACACCTTCCATTGCCCCAAGTATGTTCCACTTGCACACAGGGCATGTCTGATGCTTTGAAAGCCAAGGATCAACACAGGTTTGGTGGAAAAGATGCCTGCAATGCAATACACGGGCTATATCTTTAGGTTTATACATTTCTAAACACACTACACAGTTCTCTCCATTAGATCCAACCTCCTTGTCATTCTCTTTCAATGTGCGAAGCTCCAGATGATTAATGGCTTTATTAATATCAACTAGCTGCCTTCTTCTTGGTGTTGGATTCCTTGTTCTTCGTAGCCTCCCAGCACAATAAAAAGTGCAATATGCCACAGCAACTAAGCCAAAAACAAGCAAGGTGCCCATATAATGGGTTAGCCATGGATAGTAATGCTTTCCGACTTCAATTGTTATCATCACATCAATGCCACTGTGAATCAAATGTAAGAGATCCATACCTTTCAGGTGGCTGATCATGACTGCCACAATATCTTCTGCTCCAAAGTTAAACATGGGAAAGATGTTGTTACCTGTACCTGGATAATTATAGATGATCACACCAGCAGCTCCCTTCTCTGCAGCAACTTTGATTTTTTTGGTAAATGGGCACTGCCCCCTCATGATAAGTGCTATCCAGCTCTTCCCATTTGGTGGCTTATTGAAAGTGGTTTCAGAGTTGCAGGCATTTTGATACAGTCCCTCTGGCGGCACCACAACTCCAGACACCTTCTTCAAAGGAGATGCTTTGGCAAACATCCCATTTTCTGTGATCTCCCACACAGCCTGATTTCCCAGCCAAAAAGAGATGTTAAGCTCAGCAACCCAAAAGGCATCAGCACATGAGCTACACACGAGGTAGATGCCAAAGTGCATGAAGCAGAAAGATGCTAGCCTCCTTCTCCCATTGGCTACTCCATGCAAGTCCATTTTGGGACCTCCTGAGCTGTCAGTGAACTAATCCACAAAATGAAACAAAAGTCATCAGCTTACAAGAACTGAGACTTTCTGTTAACAAGACTGCAAAGAATTCATCTGAATAGTTTTGGCAGATCAGACTCAAGAGGTTGTATGTGTTTAGGCACTTCTTGAAGAGTGGAGGATGTTAAGTTTCTTCAATGAAGGGATACATTGTTAGGTAATGACATTGTGACATCATTGGCATATCTGCCAATTAGTACTGACCTATGACTTGTCTTCAAAAAAATCTCACTGGTTCAACAATCAAATACTGTATACATATTATTCTCCCTCTCAAATACACACAAATATGCATTCAGATCTAAAACTGAAGTATGACACATTATAATGCACATTTTTGTATGGGCTCTGTGTGTGGGTGTGT